TTTAAGAGTTTAAGAGTTTTTAAGAGTTTAAGAGTTTTTAAGAGTTTTAGCCAAATGCTTTATAATATAGTATAGATATATATATATATATATATATATTAAGATTTAATAATTCAATGGAATCATTGTCCAAATTGTCCTTACCCATACATCTAAATTATGAAGACAAATTCTTGTGTTTTGATTAAAATAGAAATTAGGTGAAGGGTAGTTTGGGGCTAGTGTAGTGGGTCCTATGTTTTGTTTAGACTTTAGGACAAACCCAAAGATAAGTAAGCCTAGTTGGTTATCAAAATGTAAAGAGTAAATAGTAAATAATAAATAATATAAAAAGATTTTACTTAAATATAAAATAAGTCTTAGATTAGATTTTAGACATTGAATAAGTCGAAAAATGTCATTTTATACCAATATTTTTAAAAGCGGGTTTTATATGAAATTGACGGTTTCAGTTCTTGATGTCGTTAGAGAGTTGTTGCAGCTGTCCAACAATTCTTGATTATCAGGTTTTTATTCCTCCATGGTTTCGGAGAAGCGGGTCATGTGAGATCTCTGTTCTTGATGATCCACCTTTGAAGCTCGATATCTTCTCCATCAATGGCGACAAATTTGTAGACCCAAAATCATCTGATAACCTCAAAGTTTCTAATCACCAGAGCAATCGTCTATCATACAACCTAATTTCTTAATTTCAATTTCTCTAACAAATCGATTGATCCCTAATTAATCTCTTTCTCGAAATCTCTAATCTTCCTCTTTAACAATCATTTCAAAGCGATTGCTAATTTTTTTTCTTGGTTGTTTGCGTTGTTGATTTCGATTGCAACTATGGCTGCTTATGCCCATCGTCGTTTACGATCCAAATTCCATGATCTTGTTCGTTTAATCAAGATGTTGCGTGTTTTGTGATAACCGGCTTCCGGCTAAGTTTCCAAAGGAAACTTCTCACAAGCACAAACCAAACCTAAAAAGGCACCATAGATGAATACAAAATTCATATCCATAAAACCCCTAACTAAAACACAACACATCTAAAATCTTACCTCCTCAAGAACCTTGAAGAACCCACGCTTAGATCCCTAAATGAACCTCAAAAAGGCTCTCCACAGCTCGTCCAATGCTCCAAAATCAAGCCTCAAGCTCCCAAAGTCGGCCAAACCAGAGAGGAATCGAGAAAATTGTAAAAACTCTAGTTGGAATTGGGCTTAAAAGCTCAGATCCCATCCCGTGACCCTCGCTTGCAACCCTAGGGTCCCGGCATAGGATTGTACGACCGTTTCATGATCTTACCTTATTGTTAGTTCATTACACAAATATGCATTGAAAAAAACATACATATAGCAAACAAAAAATAATATACGGTACTTAATATTAAAAACTATGATAGGATAATCCAGTATCAGAAATCGATCATAAGCTTAATGTATGGTGAACAAAAAGTACAAGTCAAAATTCAACAAAATTTGTTGGTTCTTATTAGGGGTGAGCAGCGGAACCGGGTACCCGGTTATGGAACCGGAACCGATATGAGTGGTTCCGGTTCCGGTTCCTAAAATACGGAACCGATTGAGAATGGTTCCGGTTCTCAATTTTTCGGAATGGTTACCCGCCGGGTACCCGGTATTTTTCAATAAAAAAAATATTATTATTTTTAATACCAAATTTATATTAGGTTTACATCTTAAAAGCACGTCGTCATCTTCATTCTTCATCTAAATTCTTCATATAAAATGATTCGTATTTTTTCAAATTGTGTGTTCACTTGGATTCATAGTATATAATCGTTAAACTTTGAACAATTATCATTATAGTATGTAATCGTTAAACTTTGAACATTTTATATTAGTCTATTATGGTTTGCAATCGTTAATCAATATTTGTAATCATTATTCTGTATAATTTGTATTCTTGCTTATTTATTTAGTGTTTTAGCAATGTTTTATTTTTTATTTTTAAATAACAAAATTTTAATATTTTAGGGAGCGGGTACCCGGAACCGGAACCGGTTCCCGGCTGTTCCGGTTCCGGTTCCAAAAATTTAAGAACCGCTCTAACCGGTTCCGGTTCCGGTTCCAATATCTCAAGAACCGCCGGTTCCGGTTCCGGTTCCTGTCAAAAAAGGCGGATACCCGCCTATGCTCACCCCTAGTTCTTATATAATGTAGCAATGATTTCTTTTCCAATCAAGTGTAAGAGACATCCAATTCTTTCTATATCGTATCCATTTTGACAGGCAGACAGTATATATTGTAACTATTAATGATGTGGGAATGTAAGTTGTCAAGTTATAACGTAATTCCTGATCATGTGGAAAATGTCATATCTAAATCAACCGAACATCACGTCGACTAAACACATCCAACAGGTAAAATAAATACGAAATAAAGAAAATTACGCATAACATCAAGAATTATGAGGCAATATTGTCTGTAATCTATAAAAATACTAAAAGGAGGAAAGCAAGAATAAACGTCGTGATTCTTTTGTATTGTTCATGTTTAAAATTCATATGTTGTTTTCATCAAATTGTCGGGCTTCACGAAACGTTATACGAAATGGTCAAAGGTAATGATTACACGATCTCTTGACATGTGTGCCTCGTCAATCAAAGGTAATGATTACAAAACGTTCGGTTACACTTTAAAAAGTCGTAACGATAGTGATAATTATAGAATGCTTTATTTAGCCTTTTACATTTGTTAATTTTCAACAATTTTGGTTCCTTTAACTAATGATCGTAAACTTTTTCCAGCTAAAATAAAAGTATTTTAGTCATTTTCACTATTAAAATTAAAAAATCATATTATATTTTTTAATTATGAATTAATAGAGAAAGAGGTTAACCATCACCTTTGTTTTTTTTAAATTTAAAAATTGAAAATATAATATGTTATTTTTATTTTAATATAAAATAGACAAAATAGTGAAAATGACTAAAATACTCCTATTTGAAATTACAATTTGCATTCACATGGTTTGTTGAAAAATTCTATTTTTCCCTATGTTTTACAAATCATTTATAATTTAGTCCCTCGTACTTAAAAGTAATATTTAGCCTCAGGGACCAAAATATAAATAAATTGTAAACCATATGAACAAAAACCACAATTTCAAAATTACAAGACGAAGTCAACAACTTTTCACAAGCCATAGGGACGAGAAACATAATTTACTCCTATTTAAAGTGCATCTAACTTTCAAATATCATAATTAAAAAAACATTTTGAAATAAATATATTTTTTTAAAAACCGGGTTAGGCCCGGGATCGGATTCGGGACCTGCCCGATGAAACCAGGACAGGTTACCTAGCCTACAATTTTGTTCAAGACCATGACCGGCCGGCCCGATATGATTCTAAAAATGCTCGATAATCACAAACAATATGATATATTTTATTAGTAGCATCTCAATCAAGAATAAGAGTCGAACATCGTGGAATAATGCGTAAATCGTAAAATAATGATACTTTTCTAACCTATTTGACATCATAAGAGACGATCAAGTAACTTTTAACAATGTAAAACTACATAAAATCCATCACACTTTTCATTGTGAATTCCTTTCGACACCACATGTCAACCGAACTGCAACAAATATGTAATATATCATGTTCACCAAAGTCATATAATAATAAACTCAAGTGTTTTAACAAAAATAAATATTCAAATGTAAAAATACGGGTATTTTAATACGAATACGTGTATCCAATTTCATGAACGGATGTGGATATCGGAAATGCAATATCCATTCCGTTTACATGACTAGTGATGGTGGTCAGCAATGTTTACCTCGATTAAACACGGAGTCCAAAGATGTTAAGGCAACGGAGATAACACCTAAGTAGCAGCCTGCACGTCATAACAATCATGTTCAAGCTTTTATAACTCGTTTAATGTATAGGGTCAGGTTCCAAGGAGAACACCCCTTTTCCGTGAGAACCTTAAGAACCCGATCACGGCCATCGATCGTTTTTCAGCATGTTTGATCCAATAACAATCGATGTGTGTCGGTTTTGTGAAAGAGGGGTATTTTCGTCTTTCGCTTTTCTGCACCTGGGCAAGTTAACATACCTTAACATGATAGGTTTCATGTTAAGGTAAGTTAATGTTCAATGTTTTTTCATAGGAGGTACGTTAAGATTTCATGTTAAGGTTTTCACGTTAAATTATGTGACGCATATTCATGTTTGTTTAGATTTGTTAAGGTCAGTTAAAGCATGTTAACGTTCAATGTTTTCATGTTACAGTATGGTAAGGCTTCCATGTGAAGATATGTTAAGGTATTTATTAAGACCCGTGTCTGCAGGCCCGTTCCTAGTATTTTATAGACCCCGGCAAGATATAAAGAAGGGCCCTCAATAAGTTGACTATTCGAAGTAATAATCTATGTAAATCAACATAAATCAGTCGGGCTTCTATCTCACCTCATGTTAATATTTTTCATCGTCGTTTTAAACTTTTAGGGTTAAAACAAACTTTTTCAAAACCATTAATCTTATAATCAAAAGTCCATGTTGGTTATAACTTGAAATCTTCATTTTGTTTAAGAGATGGTAGAATACTTAAAATTAATGCACTCAATGTTAGGTAATAAGGAGTGAATAGGCTTTGCAAGATCGGATTAGATTTAGAATTGAATTTTGTTCTAATCCCATGATTGGATTGAAGTATCTTCTGGATTTGAAATCCCAGGATTTCATTAAAATCCCACATACATAGGATTTTGAAATCTCACGAGATTGATTTTTCATGAGATTTTGTAGGATTTGTATATAATAATGTTTTAAAATATGTTTAAAACCATTTGTTTTGTAACAATCAATTAATAAAAAAAGGTAATTTAATTATTTTCATAATTATTTATACAATTTTTTTGTAAATAAAAGAATTCAATTTTATTCCAAATCCTACAAACTTAGAGCACCAAAGCTTTCAAATCCTTCCAAATTCAAATTCTTCTAATACCAAATCATTCCACAAAACCCAAATTCCTCATAACCATTCCATCAAACCAAATACCCCATAAGGGTATTTTTGAAATCCTAAATATTAATATAAGTTGGACTGTCTCATATGGTTCGTAGTTTTTTTCCCTCAAGGTAGGAGTTTTCATAGTTAATAACAAGAAATCTACTATATTCTAATACAAAAATAGAATTAATGTGGATGAAATAATCAAGAGTCCATGGTAGATGAATAATGGAGAATATATCAAGGTTTTCTAGGGAAATTGTTGTAGACTTTGGTACTAGATAAAAAAACTTAAGAAAACAATAAGGAGTACTATAAAATGAACACCCATTTAACTTTTTATATATTTACTTTTTCAATGTAATTAATTAATACATGTTTAGGCCCTTGATATAATACTAAATTCTTTTTGGGTCCTATCATATGCTAAAAAATGTGTGTCTATTTTATTTACTAATTTTTTTAAACTACCATTGTATATACTAAAAAAATTGGGCCCTATTTTTTGTGGGCCCTGGGAGTGCACCTGGTCCGCCCTCTGCATGTCCGCCTACATCCATGGCATTATAATTCTGTTTATTTACATATCTGCCATGGCCTTTTTTTGAGGTGTTCCACCAAAAAACAAAAATCATCCAAGGGCTACGAGTTGGTTCACACAAATGATAAAATTCTCACATGATCCCGAGTGTGTGTATATATATAGGGTTAGGTTCCATTGAGAAAAGAAAATTATGGGAAGAAGGGTAAGAAGCGATCTCCACCCTTGGATCAATCCTAATTGAAGATCAACACTAATATGGTGCACCGAGATGCACCAGATCAAATACCGTGATAAGCGCAATTCATAGGGTGGGGGTGAGAATAAAAGTGGTCCACATCCCTTCTCACGCTTCCTACTTAACTGCTATTTCACACGATCCTATATGTGTGTGTATACAGATACACATAGATAGAGGGGTATTTTAGTATTCGACACAATATATTTTGTTAAAGGGAAATGTCTTTCAAAAAACACAGGAAATATATAACATCAGAAGGCATCATAATTTGTTTTACCTTGTCATTCACTGGGGTGAAAAGGGCCTTAACTGCTTCAAAAACTTCTCCAACAGGCTTAGCAGCATCAATCTGAGAGCAAATTTAGTCCATTGGTCAAAAGTCACACATTTGACACTGAAGTTTCAAATATTGATTTATTTGCAAGGAGTGAGAAATAATAATGATAATGAACAGCTCGTATATTTACCTTTCGGACCTTCTCCTTAGAGTTGTAATATTCGATAACAGGGAGACTAGATTCCATGTAAACTCTAAATCGCTTCCTAATTGTATCAATATTGTCATCTTCTCTTCCCTTCATACCCAAATCAAAAGATTAAACCACGGGAAAACAAAACCAATTCATATAGACCAAATCTAACAAGACCAGTTTATCCCACCTGGAGCTGGGGTCGGGGGTGGGGGGCAGGATATGTGGAATAATATGTTCTGTAACATGCACATTGGATGCTTGTGCAGTACTACTAAGGTAGAATTAAACAACTCATCTAACCTGATTGCGACCCAAGAGGCGCTTCTCCATCTCTTCTTCCGGGCAATCAAAGAAAAGAACAAATTCCGGTACAATTCCAGTCTGTAGATAGCTTAAATTAGACACATCCTGATCCTGATAACAGAACTCAGTGAAGGTTTATAGAACAAATAGAATATAGAACTCACAACTGACTCGAAGGCTGCACGATTTTCCTCATTACGTGGGAATCCATCAATTAGAAATTTGTCATTTTCATTTTCAGAAATTGCTTTTTCAAGAAGCTTAATTGTTACTTCTGAAGGAACAATTTTTCCCTCCTTGATCATGTTCTGAATCATGGTTCTACAAAATATTATAAAGAACTTAGAAGTTGAGATATCTCAAATGAAAATGTATCCTTATAGACCAATATGGACATATTATTTATCATTAAACAACTATTCGCCACTAAACGAAAGATATCACGGAAGCAGAGCTAATGGTTCAAAGTAGTTTACCCATTTTCAGAGCCAGATTTTATTTCTGCCCTGAGAAGATCTCCAGCACTGAGATGGGTATACCCAAAATGCTCTACAATATTTGCACACTGTGTACCTTTACCACTGCCTGGGCCTCCTGCTCAAGATTAAATGAGTGAGAAGCATATTTACTTCAGATTCCTTAAGGATAGAATATACATTCTGATTGGTGTTAAACTGGAAAACAAGTGAAAACTAAACCTCATAAGACTTTGAAATTGTCATTTCATGGGAATTGATAAGTTCACAAAAGTGGCCAGGTTGTATCATTCTTATGATGAAGGTTATAGAGCATATAACAAAAAGAACTACACTAAAGTTTGGAAGAAGAGATGCATCGCTTGATTTATCAAAGATCAACAGTATTGATTAAGACCACAGTCACAACAGAACTCCATCTACCATTAAAAGGCAGTATTTAGTCAAAGAGAGAAAACAGGTAATGACCGAGTTGCATCCAGAAGCGAAAAACACACCGTATCACATACATTGGTCACTTGATTTAACTCCATGGAATTGGGTGATTAAAGCATCTGATAGAGCATTATAGGGGATATAGATCTAAGCAAATGTAACTTTTCTGGGGAAAAACCAAGACAAAAGGAAGGGAGAACCATGAATAGAATGCTGATTACAAAAAAACAACTGAAAGACATGCATGAGAAAAAAGCTATATTTGTTTATTTTGTTTAGATGCTTAAACCAAAGTTCTTACCTAGAACAAATATAACCTTGGGCTTCTTTTGAGTAAGAGCACTTCCTGTTGCTTCCTGCTATCAGATATGCAAATAAATTTTGGTTAGTCGTAGCAATCTTTCTGGTTTTGACGTAATAAGCACAAGTATGATGCTATATTTCCATCTCAGAGCTTGACAATCTTGATTTATATATATTAAATTACTGGAAAGGAATAGGCCACATCATGTACTCAATTTTCAAGATTTAAAGCCGATTCAACAGTGTATCTTTCTTAGAATCGAGCAAACTTGTGCAAACTATACAGCCATACAAGTAAATACTAATAATGAACAAAACAAAATTGCTAAGATAACTACCTTGTTTGCAGCTTCAACAGCAGTCCCCATGAGTCCACAAAATAGTTTGTATTAGCTCTATTCTGCATCCAACCCAAAACCTTGTGATCAAAATCCTTGTCCAAGCAATAAATATATATTTAATTGGTCAACTTGTTGTAAATGCATATATTACAATTTACTTAGTGTTCATCCCTTTACAACATATGAACTTAGAATAATTGTAGATAAACTTTATCCCCCAAAAAAACAACAGAATGACAACAGAAGCGCAAAAAATCCTGCAAGTAATCATAAGACAATAAAAAATCAATAGATAAGCAAAACGAATATGAAAAGGGATGGTACTCTATAAATGTAATTTCAGGCTAGTCTGAAGAACTTGTTGCTAAATCATCTCGCTTACTCTTACTAATCATTTGTATAACCCGATGAAGCAGTTGCAAGGCCAAACAACAATTCATTTGTTGAGAAAATGAGGTAGGTTAAACACATAATCACACACAAACTGTGAGAAAATACATCCCTTGGATCAGGAAATATTTCCAAGAAGCTTAATTCCAACTGGCCTACTCGCACTATAAATCCATATACATAACTTGAATCAAAGTCAAGATTCAGAGAAGGGGAACTGTCTTCATACTTGCACCAAGCAGACAAAAGAAAATTGAAGAACCAGACCCACCAATCCTCACCTTAAGAGTTCAACTAGATCTAACAGTTAGAAACATAATACATATAAAGCAATTTTCACAGCTAACAGAACACATTGACAAGCACCTGGATTCAACATATAAACCAACAAATCCAACTCAAAATTCAAAAACCGATAGATAACTTTCATGGTTAAATCATAAATGGGTCTGAATACAATAATAATAAACAAATCTATAACTTGAATGCCAAACACTAACCAATCTACACTTCGAACAAGATCTACTTATGAAGAATCAAGACACAAAAGATCTGTAAGACAATGTGTCATCTCCAGATCCATATACTAGACTATCATCCAGGTATGATTACCATATTTCCATAGAGTGATCTCTATATCTTGTTTTAGAGCAATTAGATCTTGCTCAAATTTCAAATTTCAAATTGGCAATTTGACAACCATATGTAGATCCAAATAGGGATTCTCTAACCTACCAAACTGCCATGCAAATGCCACAATCAGTCAGATCATTGCATTCTATCTTCAATCTAATTTAAAACATTACGTATAACAGTGATCATAGCTAAGCCCAATCAGTACTCAGAACACAACACAACATAAACATCCAATTTATGTAGATCAACAAAACCCTATCAAAGAAAAAGTGAGCATTTTCAACATAAATCACAAGATACTGGTAAAACCTAGATGAATCGAAATAAAATCCTCTCAGCACTTGTAAACTAAATAATTGAACAAGATCCAACACACAGAACAGCGAACAATCAGATGAGTTTAATCCAGATCAGTAAGTTAAATAAAAAGGAAAAGATATGTGAAGCTTACCAAAATCAAGAAAAGCCGTGGAGAATTTAATGAAAATTGAAAGAAACGCAGAGGGAATGAAAGATCTGACAGAATTGCGTATGGCTGGTGTCGGTCTCTACTGATGTTTATATAGGGTTCCTCACACCCGATTCACATCATTACTTAAACATGTTCTATAAAGTAAACTACAAATTTGGTCCTTCTGGTATTGTAATAACAATTTTTTGTCCCTACAGTTTTAAAATTACAATATGGTCATTGTGGTTTGTAAAAACGTTTGGATCATTTTTTCTCTTTAATTAAATTCCATTACACGAGGTGTATTTTTGTCATATATTCAATCAAAATCAATTTTATGATTTTGGTCACTATAGTTTTCGATTAGGTAAAACACAAAAAAAGTCGATAAAATGACGACAATGCTTCTCATTTAACGAAATTTTTCAACCTTCGTTAAAGGGAGGGACTAAATCCAAACGTTTTTATAAACCATGATAGTTATCTTGTAACTCTGAAACTATATGACAAATAGTGTTGTTTTCGACAAACCATAGGAAACAAATTTATAGTTTACTCTATTTTATATATTTTTTATATTTATATTGTCAAAATAAATGTTGTATTTTTCTGGGATAAAAATTTATTATATATCATGTAGTATATATATATATGTATGTGTGTGTGTGTGGGGGGGGGGGGAGATGGTTCAAACGAAAACATCTTCATTTTACGAGAATGCAAGAAATATATTTTGTTAAATAATACGGGAAATTTTGCTTGAATAAATATTTATTAATTTATATTTAAGCGGGTGTTGAAAATTTTGGAGTGGTATTCAAGACTAAATGTGTGATTACACTTTGAGTGTATGTTCATCAAATGGTGGAGTCGTATGGGAAAAAAATGTAGTAAAGTTGGAGTGTTTTTGAACTTTCATTAACTTAAAAATTATAATAATATTTTTTATTTATATTTTTTTTTAATAAAAACACTGAAAATACCTCGGAGTCGTTTGATCTCTTTTGATTCTAAATAGTTGATCGATGGGGGTGGAACCAGAATTTTATGGAGGTTCTGAGAACCATGAACGAACATCGACATTTGGGTTGTTGGTATACAGGTTTTTATTAAAGCCAACGACATATAAGAATAATTGAGATGGCAACAAAGATAATAAAAAGAGATAACAATTTAGATCACAGAAAGCAAAGATTAAAATCAACAATCGGAACTAAAAGTCGAGACCGAAATCGAAAACAAAACGTGGAGACTAAAAACGAAACTAAACCAAAAAATGGACATGATTGGTTAGGGACGATGATGGTCGCGATGGTAAAAGGAATCCGATGACCATATTTTTCTCTCTTAGGGGTCGTTTATTAAACACTTACTCAGTAAGTACTTGTAAAATTTAACACAATCATTTACTTACCAGATAAGATTTTAGTCCTCCATAACGGCATCGTATGCAACAATTTACCCGGTAAATGTTTACCGTGATAAGAGTCGTCGTCTTCACTTACCGAGTAAGACTCTTGGTCTTTGTCTCGCTCTTACCGGGTAAGATTCTTGGTCTTTATCATATTCATCCGGTAAAGTAATATAATTTGATAAACGCTTACTCGGATAATTGTTTGGTAAACGCCCCTTACTCTCTTCACTAATTAAACAAAACCCCGTTGAAAGTTAGATTATGTTGATAACAGTGGATAGATGATTAATATGTTGTAATCAGTATATAAAATCCGAAAAATAATATACACATAACATTTTATTACTATATAATTTAATCAATATTTAAACCATTACTTGAATATGAAGAATAATCACTTGATAACTCCTAACTCCAAAATTTATAAAATTCGTGAGAATTTCTACCTTAACGTGATTTTTTCCATCTAAGTACATATAGCATTCAATATATTGATTAACGTATATTTGTTTCACACTGTGTTTATTTTATATGTATTCAGTTCACAATATGAAACTCTTTTACGTGTATTATTTGTTTCACAAACGCCATATTGTGAACCGAGTACATGTAAAATGAAACACCTCATAAAACAAATATATGTTAATCGATGTTCTAAATCCTAGTCTAGATGAAAAAAGATCATATGAAATAACACATAATGCACTAGTTTTCATGATTATCATAATTTTATGAATTCTTAATACCTCAAATATTTATACTAATAATGATATAAAAGTTGCGAACCAAGGGATTAATAAATGCATTTAAATTAAAAAGGTTATAAATAATATTTTAACATAAAAAATTTGGTTGTATTTATTTTAGTAATAAAACATTGACAGAGAATGGGAATTGTGTTCCAGAGGAATTTGGTTCTTTATGTTTTTTAATCGGTAGAATAGAATGACTCATGATTTATTAGTTATATAATTTAATAAAATATTATTAATAACTAGTTTTTTTTTCTTAAATTAATTTTTAATTGAAAAATAAATAAAGTAATATAATTATATGATTTTAAATTGTCGATATTTTTAATTAAAATAAAAAAATCATAAATATTTGATGGTTTTAATTATTGTTAATATTTAATTTTGATGGAATATGCTTTCTGGAGAACTTTCAAGAACCTTGTAACAAGATTCATCAGATTTAATTATTTTATCGGGTAACATTCTCGATCATTAAAAATGATTACTGGTAAACAAATAACATTCTCGATTCTTACTATACCTCTTATCAGATAAGATTTACAAGTCTTGCCATGCACATCTAATAAGATAAGTGACATCCGTTAAGTACTTGCCTGATAAGAATTTTATAAACAGCCACTGAATATTTGTTAACAAACACACTTGTATAACTGAATGAATAAGTCTTCCGTGCCATTAAGTCACAAACAAACAACCCATTAGATTACATCAGTCTCGCAAATCTTGCAACCACGATCGATGTTTTCAAATTTTCATTTTCTTTTCTTAAAAATGGTAGTTTTGTAGAGGAAAATTTTGGTCTGATACATAAAGCTACAACGAACACCGTTACAAGAACGAAAAATAAACCAAACACGTAAACATTATCGACTAAAATCTAAAGTGACTTAAGACACTTACAGCAAACATCTACCACCATCAGTTGTTCTAGATGGGATGATATTTCAAATCAGAGTTCGAAACTTTTGCCATTTCAAAGCATCCAAATTGCGATGTTCTTGCAAACTTTCGGATCTTTCAGACATTTTCACACGAACGAGATTTTGCAACGAAAACCCAGGTACAGTTGTTAAGAAATCAGTAACTCAACCACAAAGGTGGTGCCTGATTGGTTTAAGCTTGGCTCCAAAGGTCAAAAGTGTCTGGAGGTCCCAGGTTCAAATACAAGAAGGAATAAAAATTCCCTTTATGGCCACGGAGGTTCAAATGCAGCGACTCCGGACTACCTGTGGTCGCCCTAGGATTAGTCCGCTCGCATAGCGGGTTGGATATCCAGGTTAATAAAAAAAATCAATAACTCATTCCTAAACTATATGGTAGTGTCAAGAGACATTATTCTATGCCCATTTTCTAGAGAAGTCATGAAAGCTAAATCATGTCCTCCAAAAGTTATAGAATACAAGAACATTGGCATTACCGGCATCAGCTCAGCAGCACGAGGCCTAGGTTCGCAGCTGTCTCTTGTAGCAGATCGAGCTTTATCTATTCCCGATTTAACTTGCTTGTATTTAAGTAATCCAAAGGCGGCATATTAGATGAAAATTTTCCGTGCAGGAGATATGTTGTTCGGGACTTCGGCCTTTTGAGTGTTGTTTAGTCTTGCCGATTGAGATACCAACAGCTCATGCACTCTACTCTTCAACTGGAAAAGAACAGACGAAAAGATTAGAAACATTGGAAGCCTAGAAAGAGTGGCAAAATAAGCACAACAAATGAAGGTGTTCACAAGAAAGATCGTAAAATTTACCAAAAGATCATTGGCCGAGTGGTATCCGGGTTATTGGTAAATCCTAATTTCCCTAGAGGTCAATGGTTGAAATCTAACCAAAGATGAGGAGTGTGTGTGCATTTGCCGTATATAAATATCATATACTTCATAAATAGATTGTAAAATTTACATGGAAAAGAAGAGTTGAGCGAAATAGCAAGGTTTAGAAACCGACCACTCGGAATGAAAACTAATGTGGGTCAATCACAAAACCTAGTTCTACAAAATTGGCTTACAAACTAAGGGGCCGTTTACCGAACGCTTACCGTGTAAGTGTTAGCGGCAAAAGTCTCCACCCTCACTTACCTTATTGGGTAACATTCGCAGTCATCAAAACGGATTGTTGATAGCGTAAGCGTCTACCAGGTAAGTGACACCCGATAAGCGTTCGATAAACGGCCCCTAAGCCTCAACAATCCAACTGTTCAGCAGTTCATTTGACTCGTAAAAAGTAAAAGATATCTAAATGTTTTTCCCTTGTTATTTCATGACCCTATTTTTGTTAGTTTACACTTTTGTTTGATTGAATACTCGGGATTTTGTAGATGAACCGTCTATCTCTAACTCGTCATACTTGGTGTACCACTACCTAAATGATTCCTCCATTTTTGTTATGTTGAAATTACTTTTTCTATCATTACAAAGAAAGTTCCAAACTGATATTATATTTTATTAATATTTAATCAAACGTTTATGTCACCATCATTATATAAAATATTTTTTATGTAATTTTGATGTCCTCGGTCAATAGCAGTTCCATAATGGTGACCGAGTGACATATTTAACCGCCAAGGATTTAAATGACTTACATATACTCATACGGTCATACCTCCTAATCCTACCTACACCTGTTTAGTTTCCATTTCTACTTATCTTTCCTCGATTTAAACCTATCAATATATGGTTGTCTCCCATTTTTCTACCAGAACAGAAAGTTCATTCCATAGAAATTTAAACAGATCTGAACACCCAAAAAGATGGTTGTCAAGTTCTAACCTCATTCAACCCAACTTTACTCTTTACTGATACATGAAGCGCTCCTTCAGGTCCCATTTTTCGGTATGTTTGCAGTTCAGGATGATCAGCTTCAATATCTTCCGTGATGTAAAGAACAGGAGACTCTTGCAAAAGATCACACTTGGAGACGACATCAAACCATAGATGGGTATTAAATCTTTCTTTTATTTCTTGGTAGATTAGAAACTGCAATATTCACGGATAGCAATATAAGATTAAAGAGATGCAAAATCCGGAAGAAGCTGTTACCCAACATATACACTTAATAAACAAGAAATCAAGAGTCCAGATGTTTATCCAAAGGATTTGTCACATAATAAATCACAATACCTGATCCGAAGGAGAGGTCCCACATTCTCCAGTTAAATCATGAACGAATAATATGGCCGTCGGTAGATGAGAGAGCACAGCAAGTGTTAGCTTTTCTAAATTATTCCTGTCCTCTGCAGATCGAAACACAAATTATGTTAGAAAAAAACTGATAACAAATGCATTTCATGACCCAAAATTATTTTCACATGCAACTGAAGGTTCTTCTGATGTCAATCACCTTCAGCTAAATTCAAAGTGAATCTTTTCTATAAGGGCAGGCTGCATGAAAATGCAACATTATATGGTCCGATTCCTATTTTGAGTAACATACTTTCAAAACCTTCACTTTTTTTTTAACCACAAGGGTGGTGCCTGATTGGTTTGAGCTTGGCTCCAAAGATCAAAAGTACCAGGAGGTCCCAAGTTCAAATCCAAGGACGAATAAAAATCCCTAAGATGTGACATTGCATCTAAGATTGCATGAAAATGCAACATACGTTGGTCCGATTCCTATTTTTTTAACGTACTTTAGTCTAACTGTTTGAAATATCACATTCGAGGTACCAAAACGAAAGTAATTGAAAGCATTTAATAGGAATCAGATCAAAGTCCGTTGCATTTTCATGCAATTTGCCCTATCTATAACATGGAATTGTCTTCAGCGTTTTTCACTTCCTCTCCCATGTAGCAAAGATAATGCTCAGCTAAGTCACGTACTTCCAATTCCCAGCATAGGATCTTACCCAATTATATTTCCCATGTCTACATCTTTATATACTTCCAAGAGATTATAGTACTCTGCTACTCCATCTGTCCCAACTAAGAAATGTAACATTCCTTTTTTTGGTAAGGTTTCAATCAAAGATTAACTTCTTCCCATTTGTAATCATTAGAACGTATTGATTGTCATTTGTATTTCGTCCACAAAACTCTTCTATTTCGTGATTATTGAGAAGCAGCTTAGATATTTGAATATAGTCATACTCTATATTAGACTATGTACACAAGCATTTATTTTGGCCAGATGGAGTACATCTTTGCCTCTATTACAAAGTATACCAACTGTGGCCAATTTTTCTAGAATTAACTTCTTCAATTGCAACCAATTTAACTTCATCGACCATAATCCTTGCCAACGCAGCTACTGCTTATTCAAAAGGTTCAGGGAGTCAGACTAAACTCATCAAAGCCTTCGTCGGAAGATAGTTTCAAGTAAGAAAGCACACAATTTTGCTACAAGGCAAAAAAAGTGTGGACAGCCACTTTAATGGATGACATTGTTTCAAAACTGAAATATAGAATGTGTTAATAAAAGAAGAGCATAAGTATTTTACCGTCACATCTCCTCAGAATCCCAGGTGTATCAGTCACCTGCAGTCAAAACATCAATTCTGGACAGATTATAAAGGTAAGGTTTCAGAAAACGAGCTAAAGTTGCTGGTTCAACCAGCCAAACTGTAAGAATGTGAAAACAGTTCAGATAACACTGTTGAGCAACGTTCAGAACCAGACCATTCTGTTCTGAAGGCAGGAATATGATTATAAAACAACATTTAAGATATTCTGTCATTGTCCATTTTCTATTTGAAATTGGCTTACTAATGCCTGGTTTTGTATATAATTAAAATTCCCAATCATATAATAAAATCCTAGCAATGCCTGTGGATGTTAAAATCCCGCGTTCGTTTTTACGTTTCCTGATATTTAACTGTTTGTGCAGTTATCATTCCTAAGACAACTGACATTGGTGCAGCCATCATTGACCTGCGTAGCTTTAATCTGGTTCTGGAAACGTTGTATGGAGGCAATACAGTTAACTAAATCTACATGTTATGAAGAAAAAGGCTGACCTGAAAATTCTGGAAGCTTAAAGCAATATGGCCCATTAAAATTCCTCTAGTTGTGAAAGGGTAATTACAGATCTGCAGGACCACAGAGATAAAATCTGTTAGTAATTCATCAGTTGAGACAGAGTACATTTGGTTCGTGGATGCTAAATTACCAACAGTTGCATCTAATGAGAAACAGAACTTATTGTGCTCTTTCCAAAAAAAAAAACTTAAAGAGTTTGTGTATAAATTAAAATGATTAAGCATTTTATTTACTGCCCCTCGGTGATTAAAACTAAATGAGTGACAAAGCTCCAAGATGGTTTAGTTTCGGACAATAAGCAATGAACTACAATAGAAGAGAACTTGGCCACAACATGTTTTCAATTGCAAGAAATTTAGCAATTTGGATACAGATACCTCAGGCTTTCCTGTTGAAAGTATGCGGACTAAAGATGATTTTCCAACATTAGGAGCTCCGACAAGGCAGAGTGTTGGCATTTCAAGATCAACAACTGGCATTGCTCTCAAAGTCTGCAAATCAAAATATTGTATTTATCACACGGCATGCACAATGAAAATAAATAGCACCATCATACGAATTGTGTAGATAAGATGTAAAGAAGATAGCAAATACATAATAATACTACATGGACTAGGATAGTGATTCTTTACACGAAAAGAAAAAAAAACAAAAGCAGGTAGAGGTAGCGGTGCGTGTGCGTAAATGGCTTCTTGCTTTGCATTGAAAGAAAACAAGAAGTTATCAACTTGATAAGAAACATGTTAATTTGTTGGAACCATGTTCTTGTAAATGAGAAAACCTTGGCTATTTGCATCAACTCATCAACGGCTTTTCCATCAGAATGAAATATCTCTTCAAGTTTTCTCGTTCCCTGCCAAAAAGTTATAGCACATACAATATGAAGTCTTCAAGGAGTGAATACGATGAATAATCAAATGGACTCTTGTAGTTTGGTGACTGACCTCAACTAACCTCTCCTCTGCTTCTCGCTTTGTTGTGGACTGTTAAGATTTGATTGAAATTAGTTGGTATGACTATATGTTAGATATAGCAATAATATGTGTCAATCAGTTGGTCAATCAAACAAGTTAACAAGTTGAAAACTGTAAGAGAAAATTTACTTGTAATAATTACAAACCTGAAGCCAATGTATCCACCCAAAAGGAACAAATGTTTTAGTTAAAAATCGAGATAATTGACATAAAAAGGAAATGCCCAAGATTGTCAAAGAAGAGTCAATCGAAATGATATATTCTACAACTGTACTGCTAAAAAGAGCCCATATCCACTCCTTTTCCACCTGGAAAATGTCCATCATAATAAGAGTAAAGTTCTGACCTTAGCACAGAGTGATGCATGTTCTTTTCCAACTGATACCAGTTTCTTCCGTAAAGAATCAACTTTTCCTAAAACCTGCAATTACAAGATTCCATAAAAGACTCAACCAACTAATTCAACTACATAAATATGCAAAGATGTTAGTTACTAAAAATACTTGAAAGTAAGAACAACATAAGAAAGTCAAAGGAGTTGCATGCTTATCATGTAGGAACGAAACTATCACTCCACAAAGGACCTGCACATTATCACACAATTCATTCTACCATCCTACATCTTAAAAAAGGGTGAAGTGTTAGGTCAAACGTTACACACGCAATACGCACAACCCAAAAAACAAGAGAAGAACACAAGAATTTACGTGGTTCACACGATCAGATTGATCGTGCTAGTCCACGGGGGCAACTAGGGTTTTCTTTATTTAGGTGCTACAATGTTTACAAGTACAATGAGATTAATATATATAGACAAACATAATTAG